CGGCGACCCGGCACGCGGGCGCACGTCGCGCTGTGGAGCACAGGCTCTAGGCAGGCTTCAGCAGCTGCAGGACAGACACGGGCTCTGCGGTTGCGGCGCAGAGGGTCAGCTGCTCCATGACACGCGCGGTCTCCCTGGACCGGGGGTGGGACCCATGCGCCTGTGCTGGCAGGTGGAGTCCCCCGCACTCTACCCCCAGGGAAGCCCCCCGAGTCACTTCTAAGGGTCTGATCCTTCAGTCACACTCGCCTGGAGTTCTGAAGAGTTTAGTGTTACCAGCAATTAATCCAAAAAAATTAACCTACCGATTCCTTGGAGGGAAACTAATTACTTTTCAAGACATAGGGAATTCTCAAAGGTACCACAAATAAGGGACTTATATACTGACCGTTAGCACCATAATAATGTTCAAGAGCCTCTTAAATTTCCCATGATGGCTTATTTCAGAAAACAAACTGCATTTTTAGAAGTCAAAGTTATTTAAAAATCAGGCAGTGTTCTAAAATGAAAACTCTGAACACAGGCTTGAGACTAAAATAAAGCTGTCCATAACTGAGCCACTTCTGCGGGTCAACACGCGGAAAGTGTGCTTCGTCTTCTGAACCAGTCATTCTATGGAGTCTGTGTCTAACATGTGTTAATAAGGAAAGGTTTCCTTTTAGTGACCAAGCAAGAAGCTAAACATTTCATCTGTATGTTTTGTTTAAGATTTTAAATCCACCAAGGAGTAAGATGTTGCCACTTAGAAGTAATTGAGCATCTGTCTTCCTCTTTAAATGAGTGGGGATGAGGTCTCCAACAGAAGGGAGTCCAGCTCTATGTCACCATTTTTATCACCAACAGAAAGAACAAATGTTGCATTTATATAAATACATACACATTATACAAATAGGCTATAACTAAGTATTCATTTACTATGTGAAAATGGATTTTATGCAAGAAACCAGACTTGAGAGAGACACTACAGAGCTTCTTTGTTACAATCAGGGCTAAGACTCACTGAGCCCTTAGGATCTGCTGGTCACTGTTCTAAGTGCTTTGCGTTTACCGGCTCCTTTAGTCCCCACGACCAGCTTCCTACGTGAATATGCACGGGAAACTTCACACTCAGGCGCCGATGCAAAGGGTAGGCTAGGGCCCCATATTCTATATTTGCTCCCAGGTGACGTGGTGCTGCCATTCCCAGACCATGATTTGAGTTTCAAACCTCGCAGCAGTCCCACGAGGCGGGCACCAATTCTGCCGCACGTTCCACAGAAGAGGAAACCGAGGCACTGGGACTCAACAACTCGCTGGAATGAAGGAACCGGGGTCTGAACTCACGCCTCCCTGACGCCCATGCAGCAGCGTTCCTCTGCGCGCTCTGTGTTTTCACGCGTTTGTTTTTTGGCCACACTGCATGGCTTGCAGCCTTTTAGTCCCCTGACAGGGACTGAGCCCCGGGACCCTGCAGCAAGGGTGCCAAGTCCTAACCCCCAGGGAATCCCCAACATGCTCTGTACCGTTTCAGTCTATTATAGACCAAAAACATTGAAGGAGAAAGAAACACAACCAAAATTTGTTAAACGTTCTACACAACTATTTTATCCTCATGATCAGTAAGTCTGTTTAATTTTTGCCTTTCTTGCTTTAATGCATCATTTACGGCCACTGTGTCTACTTAGAGTTTATAACTTAATGCATCATTGCTGAATAATATTCTATTAAGTTAATTAACCGTAGGTGGCTCAGTGGTAAAGAATCTGCCTGCCAATGCAGGAGACTCAGGAGACCCAGGTTCGATTCCTGCCTGGAGAAGATCCCCTGGAGGAGGAAAGGATAACCCACTCCAGTATTTTTGCCTGGAAAATTCCATGAACAGAAGAGACTGGCAGGCTATAACCTATGGGGTTGGAAAAGAGTTGGACACAACTTAGCGACTAAAGAACAACATAATTAATCATAATTTACTCAGCTGGCCACAACTGTTGGAGGTAACTTTCAAGTGTCAATATACCAAAAGTATTCATCCATGTTGAAACAGAGGTAGCGANGTGACATCACCGGCTCAATGGACATGAGTTTGAGTAAACTCTGGGAGTTGGTGATGGTCAGGGAGACCTGGTGTGCTGCAGTCCATGGGGTCGCAAAAAGTCAGACACGACTGAGCGACTGAACTGAACTGAACTTATCTTGTGACAGACAACTATAATTTAGGGTTAGAATGTAATAACCTAGTCTAGCTTAATTAATGAAGCCAACCTTGCAAACTAATTTTATTACGTTATAAGGATGAATGCTTCTACTTTGAACACATGAGCTCTTGTAATCTATATAGACCATGATCTGTTTTATGCCTCTAGGTTTTCACTTTATTAATTCAGTAGCTTTGATGTGATAATTTAAGGCTATGACAGACATGTTATAGCAATAAGATCACTCTTTTCCCAGAGCTCACTAAACGGTATACGCTGCTTTTCTGTGTGAGTTGTTCAAGCTTCAAAACCTGCCCTTGGAACCCTACATCAGTGTTCCAGAATTTCAAAAGAAATGCTTTCGTAAGATCTTTACTGTGTAATATATAAACTAGTTTGTCACAAAAGAAAATCTAATGCTTGACAGAAAAGTTAGCACTTATTACCTACTTCTGTGCCTGGCCTTTCTTTCCCACTTTACGACAGCGTCCAGAGAAGGAAAGAAATACTCATGTCAATTGGTATGTGGTATTATGTGGGGTTTAGATGTTAGTCTGGTCCCCACTTCTGTCATTTATTAGATGAATAATCTCAGCCAAGTGATTGCTCCTTTCATAGCCTTGTTTTTAGTAAAGGTGGCAGCAAAACTTTCTGCACAGAATAAGTGACAACATTAAAGAGAATAATGGATATAATCTGTTGCAATATGTACTCAACAAATGTCTGTTCCCATCCACCCTTACTTCTCTAATGGATGATCCCTAACACTTATTGAATACCCACACAAAAATACATTACTGTCCCGGTTTTATACATAAGGGAAGCAAGGAGACGCTAAGACATTCATCCAAGTTCACATACCGGCTCATGACCATCTTTGACCCCAAACCAAATGCTCTTTTTCTTCAGGTGAAGATTTATATTAAGAAGCCACCCTTCACTGAGCTAGAAGAACGAGTGATTTACTCCTGAACAAGCTCTCTGCTCATCTGAAATCAGTAGCACCTAAAGACACAGTCTTAAGAGCAGTGTTCTTTTTCTACATGCCCTTGGCTGCATTTTAGTAAAGAATGCTAGTCAAGCAAAATAAACACACTAGCCTCCCATTCTCAGTTTGACATGAATGAGTCTACATTTCTCCAGCTTATGGGAAAGTATAGATTTATCATAAGAACTACTATTTTGAGCTACAAGAGATGGTTGGCTAAACGCAAATTTGGATCAACAGAGAAACTGATACTATTTTGCTTCCTCTGGAACTTGGGGGAAAAAATCTATAGATAGATTCTTATTATTTATGGAAGAAAATTAAAAATAAGAATTTTAAAATGTTAAACAGTATACGAAGTTTCTGAGCCACCTTGCCAGTGGGCTGGTAGACATCCTTGGCTGAGCTCACTGCAAGGTTTTGCATAAACGCCCACAGGAAGCGGGCAGGCCTGGGAAGCATCAGTGAAAAAGCACAACCAGAGGGGAGGCCGCCAAGCGTCACCCGATCCATCTGCACCCCAGGGGTCCTGACATCTCCGGGGGGGGGCGGCAAAGAACTAACATTCCGGATTCCTAGGTTAAATGTTAAAAATCTCTGTGGTGCGTTCTACCCAGGCTATTGTTCTTTAAATGCGAGCTTTTAGCTTGCAACATCTTTTGAGTCTATAGCTGACCTGAGCCTCCAGGAGAAGTGATGAGGGCGACAGGGACCGTACCAGACAGCCCAGATCACACCCAGAGAACCTGGACGGTGCTCCAGGGCCCAGAACGGCAATGACTTCCACTGAACTACTCCAGGAAATAAACGTGAAGCAAAGGCAACAACCCAATCCATCAACATTCAAAATCAATTTACAAATGGTTTACATGATGACGGTCCCATTACAGCTACTATCGAAAAGCAACATTGCCATTTTCTTTTATCAACAGAACCCGTCCATTGCTTATGCATGCATAAACAGTCTCACAGTTATTAAAAGAAAATCCTGGTTAGACACAAAGTTTACATCTCCTTCAGGTTTTTGCCTTTAGGGGAAAAACACTGAAAAGAGGATATGCTAGTTAAGAAAGAAAGCAGCGTGAGGTCACAGCTTCGAGCTTCAAAGCCAGCTCGCCTCCACGTGTGGATGGCACTGGGACTTCCGCCAAAGCAAGGGCAGAAAGAGCGACGGAACACGGGGAGTGCAGTGCAGAAGCCACTGTTCTTATCTCACGGACCGAAAACGTGTGGATGGGTAATACCAGAGCCGTGATTTTTCTTTCTGCAAGCGCTCAGGAGCCCCTTCAATGAGTATATGTACGTAACTCCAGCATAAATATAGATGCTTGCATGAACTTGACTCAAAAGTTAATCTGTGTCAGTTAAACCTTTTCTTTTAATTTCAAGGTATTTTTTCCTTTTTGATGCAGTTGTAGATGGCACTGTTTTATTTCTCTCTTTTTTTTCTTGGAGTATAATTGCTTTACAATGCTGTGCTAGTTTCTGTACAACAGAAACTTTGTGCTGCAAGAAAGTGAGCCAGCTATATGTACATAGATCCACTCCCTCTAAGCCTCCTGCCAACCTCCACTCAACAATTACAATTTATTCCTCTTAAAAAAGACAAAAATTAAATGTAAAGCTTGATTCTGGCACACGCTGAGAGCCCAGAGAAAGCCAGCAAACTCACCCTTCGTACAGTGACATCAGGCACTCTATGTGAGACAGGGCTGGTTACAACATTTGTGAAAATACAACCTTCATTCCAAAGGGGGACTGCAAAGGGAGACTAAGGAGCATCCAGTTGTTGACGGCAGGGTTAGGCTCGTCACTGAAACTACAGGGTATTTTTATTTTGTTGTGCTGTATTTTTTTGAGAGGGAAGATTTTTCTTTAAAGATTTTCACCACAATCAGCCTCATAGAAATCAAAGCTCAAAGGCAGAAAAGGAATGCTTATTTCATTCTAAAAAAAGCCTCACTGTTATCAGGTACTTAGGAAATTTCATTTCATAATATGACTATTCACCAAGGACTGATTTTCTGCCCTCCCTTCCTTCCTTCCTTTCTTTCACTTCCACTCAACTCAGCTGAAATCTTGCTGTTTTGACCAGGGACCACCTATGTTTATTTCTAATGGAAGAGTCTCACTAAGTCCGTGAAACACTAACTTTTACTGCCAGGGAAGGCCCTCACTGAAACACCGCCTTTCACCAAGGAACCCATGAAGATTCCTGCTCCTTCCCCACTCACAGTCACCTCCCTTCTGAGTTTCCAACAGCACCTTGGTTTTCTTCCAGGAACAGCACGCCCTCCCCGCGGCACAGAGCCTCGGCTGCGCTCTCTGTCAGCCATCCTCCCTTGGCAAAGCGGGGAGAAAAGGACTCAAGGCAGCCAGGCAGACTCTCCCAAGAATCTGAAACTTGTGTCCAGCCATGGGAGGATGGAAAACAGCTTATGCTCAACCGCTGGTGAGCTATAACTTCATCAAAGTTGTGGCACATCTCTACAACGTAAACAGCCGGTAAAACTGAGAAAAAGTCAACATGTGACCCTGCCTAAAAACACAACTGAACCAGTGAAGCACTAGTAAGGCAAATAAAATAAAAAATGATCATCAGAACCAACATGGCTAGACTCCCAGACCCCCATGAATTTCTTAAAGTTTTCCATACCTTGACCCTGGACCATGGTGCAAAAATAAATCATCACCAAAAATGCTGGAAACACCCAGTACTGCATCTTGCAGTGACAAATCTTCATTTTATTTCTTGTTTTTCACATGGGATGTAACAGCAGTCCTAGAAACAGAGAGCACAGGGGTATTTTGAGAAGGCTGAAAATAAAATATATGTAGTCATCTGGGACAGGCAAACAAGCCAACGTGTACTGGTATTTTCAGGAAGTAATTCACTCCTTAAGGCACTGTATATTTCACTCTAAACATAAACTAATAAAAGGAAGATTTTTGACGAGATGCTGTAGATGAAAAGAATGATTGGGAATACACGGTCATCCCCGTTTAACTAACTCGGAGTGACTCGGGATCCGATGCGGATGCTGGGGCAGCAGCATTCTTAGAGCGCCTCTGACGTGGGCAACTGCTTCCTGAATCCTTCCCTAATGAAGTCCTTGCTGGTCCTTCTACCCGGCAGCTCACTGGAAAAGGAGGTGACTGGGACCTCTTTAGCGGCTTCTTAGCAGAACTCAGCTCTGCTCAGGAGGAGTGCCCACACGGGGTCCCTCTGGGGGGGGTCACATAACTCACGAGGGAAGGTAGGGCAGCTGGCAAGGACTTGGAGCGCCACAGTTTCACCTGGAATGCAGCCCTTTGCCACTGCTTGACCTTCCAAAGTTCCAGTAAGACTGACGCCAGTCAAGTCTTCAGAGATGAAGAGTCCGAGGACCTCCAAGGTTCTGTCCGTCTTGGGTCTGCAAGCAAGCCTTCAGAGTGCTCCAGGCCTGAATTTTTGCAATCCTGCACTGTCTCTGCAACTCATTGGATTACCAAGAGTCCCTTTAACATCTGCTAATCAGACAGTTTTCAGACTCTAAAGAGCCCTCAGGGAACCCTCCTCCCAAGGTAGCTTATCTTTCTTGTATCTGTGTCAATTTTATGTCATGTCAATTTTGTATAACTGTTTTCTTCTAGAGCTATGTTAATAACCAAAATTGACTGAGAGTATTCTTTTCTTAAAAGGTCTGGTGTCAAGATCATTCTAGCTTGATTTTTAAAAATGTTAGAAAGTTTTCCATATTTTCATTGTTTTGCAATAGCTTAAGTAGCGTGAGAATGATATACTCTTTAAAAGCCAAAGAATAATTTGAGAGAGAAAATCATATGAGCCTATTCCCTTTTGGAAGCTATTTCCTACACAACTTTAGAATATCTTTTGTCTTATTTATAAATCTACTTAGCTTATTTACTTCTTGGTTTTCTAGTCTGGATATTTTCCCATAAAGTTATTCTTCTAATTTTTAAAATTTTAAATTTATTTTTTAACTGAAGGATAATTGCCTTACAGAATTGTGTTGGTTTCTGGCAAACATCAACATGAATCAGCCACAGGTCCCTTCCCTCTTAAACCTCCCTACCATCTCCCTCCTCATCCCACCCCTAATCTTTTCATTTTGATTTTCACATTTATTAGCACAGGATTGTGTGATCTCTCAGCCTACATCAGATTTTCTTGTATAGCTCCATTTACTGTCATTGTTGTTCACTTGCTAAGTCGTGTCCGACTCTGTGATCCCTTGGACTGTAGCCTACCAGATTCCTCTGAATATGGGATTTACCAGGCAAGAATACTAGAACGGGTTGCCAATTTCTTCTCCAAGGGATCTTCCAAACCCAGGGATTGAACCACGTTTCCTGCATGGCAAGCGATTCTTTTCAGCTGAGCCACTTGGCAAGGCTCCATTATTAGTACCAAACTGGTGTTTTTCTAACTTTCTTTTTTTTCTCCAAAATAGACAAGCTAAATATTTGTCCAGATTATAATTTTTTGAGGATAGTTCTTTTTAACTTGCAATATTATTTTTTTATTTCTAATTTATTTAGTTCTGCACTTATCTTTGCTTTTCTACTCTTATCTTTTTTTTTTTTTTAATTTTTGCTGTTCTTTTCGTTTATTTAGTCCTTAATGCAATATTCTTTATTTGAGGCCATTAACTTTTCTCTGGATATGCTTGGGCAGCCACATACAAGCTTTAATTGCCTTTTAACACAAGAGTTATTTCAGTGAATGTAGCTAAAGATAATTCAATGAACCTTCAAAACAACATGATTTAATATGAACTTAATCTGGTTTTATTCCAGAGGAACACAGTATATCCAGAGAAATAATTCTATTCCTTCAAGTAATTATTCATAGAAAATTTTTCTTGGCAACTACTTTTTATAATATCCAATGACAGTCTAGCATGCAACCCTTTCATGTTGCCAACTAAAGGAAGATACACATGCTTTAATAACCACATAAATAACCAAGTTAAGGTCCTATAATTTAAAAAAATTAAAGAATGTACTCATTTATATTTAGAGGTCCAAAAAATATCTCCGCCAAGCAGCCTACCAGACTTCCAAAATGCTAACTACCTAAGAATATTTTAAATTAAGACATTCACATACAGACAACAACGGGCAACACACTGAGTGGATATTTTATATACAATATATATGGCTTTTTAGCCTGGATGAATTTATTATTAATTTGTTACAGATTAGTGAACCAACTATTTGTCAGAGCACAGAAGAAATGGAACAAATGGAGAATTCAGATAAAATACAGGGAGAAAGGCCCCGAGTCATCGAGACCGCTAACTCTACCGAGGCAGGTAGAGCAGGTGGGTCACCCCAAGGGTCGTGGGACTCCCCAGGCGGCACTACAGGTAAAGAGTCTGCCGGCAGCGCAGGAGACGCGGGTTCAACCCCTGCGTTGGGAGGATCCCCTGGAGAAGGGAATGGCAACCCACCCCAGTGTTCTGGCCTGGAGAACCCCACGGACAGGGGAGCCTGGCGGGCTAGAGTTCACAGGCTCGCGCAGAGTCGGACACGGCTGTAGTGACTTGGCATGCACGCACTCCAAAGGGCTGTGAGTGACTTTTCTGTAGACAGGCTTGAACACGGGGGGTTTGGACAGATAGAGGAGCAGGCATCAGCTCCATCAGGATCAAGACCATGCCCCTCAAAGGAGAACTGCAGCAACGGAATCACTCAACCCAAAACAAATATTCTAAGATTTTGTTCCCCAAATATTACAGCCACCAGGCTCAATGAGACCGTGGCAAAGAGAGGAGAGGTAAGCAAACAACCTGCCTTTCTGCCAGGCCCTCTAACAGCAGGGGTTTTCTCAGGCATCCCACAAAACCAGGCTACCACAGGACAGGAAGTCCTTTTACAAGCTGCAGCCCAAAGCCTTTCTCTCTTCTCATCAGAGCACTGCGGTCCAGTGCAGTCAAGGCATTGTGAAGCAATACTTAGCATGCCACATTAGAAGCTGATCTGCATTTCACACAATATAAATAAATAAACAGACCAATGAATTGGTGCTACCCTTGTCTTGGCAACCGTTTTCTGAAAACTGCTTATTATTGCTGTTGTTCAGTCACTAATCCATGTGCGACCCCATGGACTGCGGCACGCCAGGCTCCCCTGTCCTTCACCATCTCCTAGTTTGCTTCAATTCATGTTTATTGAGTCGGTGATGCCACCCAACCATCTCACCCTCTGTCGCCCCCTTCTCCTCCTGCCTTCGGTCTCCCCAGCATCAGGGTCTTTCCCAGTGAGTCAGACCATCAGGTGGCCAAAGTGCTGGAGCTTCAGCTTCACTATCAGTCCTTCCTTGCATATTATTTATACAGAAAAAAAAACTGTAGCTATAGCTTTTATTTAAATTCTTCCTTTCTTGTTGTTTATTTTAAATGAGATTAAGTAATACCATATTGGGAGAAGTGGAATTTTCATTTTCCCAAGGTTTTATGCCAAGTCTTTCATTTGGACAGTAAAATAGGGGCAAGAAAAAAATTCCAATTTCTGTTAAACCGCCATGAGATATTTTCAAAATGTCAAAGCCTAATTTGTTGAAACATTGCCTAAAACCTTGCACAAAACAAATAGTACTGCCTTAATTTTTTTTTGGTTTAAAAACATCATGTTAGAAATGACCATTTAGCTGTAGTAAGTTCAGAAGGTATAAACCCAATTTGGGGAAAGTTGATAAAGTTTAGTGCAAGTTTTCTCAAAACACTGTTACTCAATTATGCAATCAGTAACTTAAAACTATCCCCATTAGGACTAACTGACCCGTCCTCTACTTTATATGTTTGTCTTATCTAACCTCATTTATACAATTAAGCTTAATAAGGTGCAGAGGCCTTATTCGAGCCAGTTTTATCAAAATCCCTTAAAATATTTATCCTAAAGTTTGTGTAAACTACTCATATAAACACACATGCACACACACAGACTTAACACACACATGCATGCAGACCTCGGATAGTGTTCTCCTCAGTCAGCGCTGACACACAAAAAGCCACAAACTTAAACTTGTTGCCAGCCATCTGGGATGCCAGGCCCTGACAGAGACTGCTGTTTGTAGCTTCAGGATTTTCATTCCAGCAGTCACTGCCGAGTTGTACAGTAAGCAAAGCTCTCTGCTCATGTCAGTCCCTCAGTCGTGTCCAGCTCTTTGAGACCCTGTGGTCTGTAGCCCACCAGGCTCCTCTGTCCATGGCATTCTCCAGGCAAGAACAATGGAGTGGGCTGCCATGCCCTCCTCCAGGGGATCTTCCTGACCCGGGGATGGAACCCAGGCCTCCCGCATTGCAGGCGGGTTCTTTACCCTCTGAGCCACCAAGCCACTCTACTCTAAGGGAGATACAAAATTTCATACTATATGATCCCTGTGTCAGCTCACAATAATTTTATTGAAAAAGAAGACCACAAGCAAATTTACAAAACTAAATGAAATAAGTGTGAAATACAACAGAGGTAACACAGACTAGAACTATGAGTGGAAATCTGGGCGCGCGGAAGACGTATCCACCAATAATTTGCTAGGGGCTCCCGACTAACTAGTTTAACCACTCCATGACTTGGTTTCTTTATCTGTAAAATGTGCAAGCGAACATCTACCTTATAGGATTGTGATAATGTAAATAATGTATTTAGAAACACAGGTAGCTCTCAAAAAGTTCTAACTAGCAGCATGCTAGCAACAGGTTGAAAGAATGTAAGGCAAAGGCAATTAAATCATCAATGAATTTACTGCTTGGGTAGATACTAAAGGACGAAGAGACT